TCTCCCATGTTTTTAATTCTTCGGCACTTTCAAACTGTGTGAGCGATATTGTAAGATTTGAGGTGAAGGTCATACAAAGAATAGCTAATGTTTGGCCGTGTTTTCAAAATGCCATTGAATTTCACATTAAATTCTAATCAAATACACATTTCTGGATGTCATGTAATGAGAAGTGGTATAATACCTTCTAAACACTGTCCTATTCCTATTGTATGCAGAGTTGTTCATGACCTGTGAGCAAGGTCAGCTGTCGTATGTCCTGTCAGACAGGTATAGTGACACCCAGGCTGTGGGCTAAGGCATATCACAGAGCTGCTGTCTAGTGGAGGGTGGTTTATTGTGTACACCTGGCCATTTGTTTACCTGTGTCTTTGTAGTCCTGAATACGTGTACATTATGATGTGGTTGTTAAATTGACTTTCAGCGCACTTATATGTAGTAGATGGAGAGAGGCTTGGGTCCATTCATTGATCGGTCAGAATCTTGATGGTCAACATGTACATGACAATTGTGATTCCGATATTGTATTTGTCATGGCTTTAAGTTACTCGCCTGAACTAAGTGACGGACCTAAGGGAAATTAACACAAGTCTGGTTTGAGGAGCATCATTTGATGGTGCCAATTTCTACTGACTATTGATTAAGATGCTGGTACTGGATTCTGATATTTGTATCCAAAGTGACTGAGAAACGATACTACTGTGAAATCAGATATTTTCGTGGAGCCTCAATTTCGTGGTTTCCTGACAAAAACCATTTTGTGAGAAAACATTTATTGTGGACTATGACCACTCAAAGCTGAGTGTTGCTTTATATCAAACTTTTAAATTACTAATTACTTAGTGGACCTATGAATTTGTGGATGACGATTACCCACAAAATCAACGAAATTCATTAACCATAACGAAAATCGGTGATTTCACATGATTTATTCTTGTGAAGCCATACTTTCATAGTTGTGCATTTAAACAGCTCATTTCCAAGAATTATATCCCTTGGTGGAATAGAAATGACCATTCACAACATATAATGTAGTTAACTGTCCATAAATAAAAAAAGTCCTCATATACTGGTAGAAGTGATATACACAAGTAGTTCAGCTGTTTATTGTGTTTCGTGATCTTCACTATTTATGATGCATTCATTACTACATACCTAATTCTCCTTTGGGAAGCATTCCTAGTAACAGCATATTATACTCCAAGTACTCCATACTTGCTTGTAGTTGGAATCAAACCCCTGGCTGTCTGAGTGGAAGGCCATTGGCTGTTGACAAACCCTACAAGCAGGGTCAGGGTTATTAATCCTTTCACCGCTATATAACTTTGAAAATTACCTCTACCATAAATTGATCTGGATGATTCCATTATGGTATACAATAGATCTTTATGGTATTAGGAGCCTCAGCTTACAGGTTATTGCACTCAAAGGACTCTTCTTCCCTTTGAAACGACATTATACTCGACCACCTTCACCTGCCATCGGCAATCTAAAAGAAAAGCATTTAAAGTTGGATATTCTAGGCCTGATTTAACGTCATAAACCTAGAATATACTTATTTCCTTTTTGATTACATTGGAAACTGTAGGTTATAGACCTGACGGTATAGATAGACTAATGGTAAATAAAAAACAGATTATGTCTTCGTTACTGCAGAGGCTGAGTTTCTGGACTACTTTAATTTAAGGTGTTGCATTATTAGATTGGGGACGTGTAGAGAAGATGCTAAGACAGCGTGTGTGCCTACAATACCTTACTGCTTCACACATTTATTTGTAGACATGGTTATTGATAAAGAGCAGGTGATGTTAAGTATTAGCATCTTGTGTACAGATTAACATGGAGTCTTAATTTTATGTGTAAAACTTGATTACCAGAAAGGTTATTGAGAAAATATTTCGCAGCATGTTGTGTATAGAGTGTCTACAATTAGGTAGGCTTCAATGAAACACAGTATTGTACTCATCACAGGATGTTGATACAGTATGTATAGATGATAGATAGCATGACCTAAAACTTCAGATATTGCTTTCTCATCATAGTAGTAGATGACTAACAAGGTTCCTGATAGGTGGAAATAAATGTGTATTGTATGAGGACTTCATGTTAGACCTAGCAAGCTTGTTAGTTATCTCTGTATATTACAGATTATAGGAGTTATGGTCTAGACAATGTAATTAAACAAAGGGCCATAACTCTTCAATTAAGAGGCTGGCAGACTCTGAATTTTGCAGGTGAGTCTTTGCCATGGTGAAGACTTGTCCATAATATAAGGACCAGCCAAAGAAAGAAAATGAAAGATCATTACTCCAAGTAAAGAGCTGCACTCCCTGAAGTCATTGTGTCACATTGTGCCATGGCATGATGTGTGTGTTCATTAATCATCACAATATTTTACTGAGGTAAGATCATGTTGATCATTTAAGAAATGGGAGATGATTTATCTGGACCTGTAGTATAAGTTAGAGCTTGCACTCCCTACCTGTAGTATAAGTTGGAGCTTGCACTCCCTTACCTGTAGAGTTATTGCCCGTTGTTTTGTCCAGCCTATAAACCCTGTGTTGTTTTTACCTGGGCACGCAGTCCCTTATTTTATGATTTATAACACCCTTACATCATTTCAACACGCATCTTATATTTAATGGAATATATATGTGGAACCTGAAATGCTCACCTGATTTCATCCATGGTGATCATAGAGGGTCATGTTGTCCTGTTGTTTATATTTCATCCTTTCCTGTCTGTTCCTTCCTTCAGTATGTATCATATGTGAAGAGGAAGACATCAGTTTCTGTTCCACAGAAACAAGGTCTAGTCATTTATCCCTGTTGTGTCCTCGTACACTGCTGTGTCACCATGTCCTGTCTATGGTTCTATCAAGTGTTTTGTAAGGAAAAGGTCTATGATATACAGATATGATGAGGGAAAGAATATTTACTGGGTAGATTGTGTATTGACTTAGTGATGATAAGGCCTGATGACCGATGTGCTTGGGTGTTCCAATGCAAGGTCACAGTGAAGGTCATGGTCAAATTTTATAACTTTTGTTTCCTTGACAACAAATATTTTTTTGGCTATAACCTATAGAGGCTATTCAACAGCACCTCTATCCTGTTGTACATATATAAATGTGTTCATTAACGCAAATGGCATCTGCTTAAAACAGAACCTGTACAATTAGTCTGGTGCATGTCTGCCATTAAGTGGTGTTGGATAAAACAAGGCGGCTCATTCCATTTGACAATCTGTATGATTTCGAAAATGTGATCACGAAAAAAAATCGAAATCACATATAGGGTGTCTCTCAAAGATTTATCTCTGAATCTTGTCAAGTTACAAGGCAATCACATTTGATAACTGCCACAGATTTTCAAGATTTTGCTTCAGCTTTCAAAACAAATGTAATATTTTTATTGATTTTATTGTTCTGCTGACTGTAGGTAAAGTTAGACCTGTAGAACTTAAAAGACACATGTTCACTATAACCACTGTAGTACTGTTGTTGTATAGCTAGACGATGTTAGTCAGACGACAAGACACATGTTCACTATAACCACTGTAGGACTGTTGTTGTATAGCTAGACGATGTTATTCAGACGACAAGACACATGTTCACTATAACCAATGTAGGACTGTTGTTGTATAGCTAGACGATGTTGGTCAGACGCTAAGACACATGTTCACTATAACCACTGCAGGACTGTTGTTGTATAGCTAGACGATGTTAGTCAGACGACAAGACACATGTTCACTATTACCACTGTAGGACTGTTGTTGTATAGCTAGATGATGTTAGTCAGACGACAAGACACATGTTCACTATTACCACTGTAGGACTGTTGTTGTATAGCTAGATGATGTTAGTCAGACGACAAGACACATGTTCACTATTACCACTGTAGGACTGTTGTTGTATAGCTAGACGATGTTGGTCAGACGATAAGACACATGTTCACTATAACCACTGTAGTACTGTTGTTGTATAGCTAGATGATGTTACTCAGACGCTAAGACACATGTTCACTATAACCACTGTAGGACTGTTGTTGTAGAGCTAGATGATGTTACTCAGACGCTAAGACACATGTTCACTATAACCACTGTAGGACTGTTGTTGTAGAGCTAGATGATGTTACTCAGACGCTAAGACACATGTTCACTATAACCACTGTAGGACTGTTGTTGTATAGCTAGACGATGTTAGTCAGACGTTAGACTTGCTGAGATCCTAATTGTGTTATTTAGTGTCGGTGTAAACAGTTAAGAATTGGATATATTTCATACAAACGTGCTCTTGTTTAAATTGGATGATGGAATTCTACTGATGAAGCTTGCTTGTAATATCGCACACAGATGTCTGGGCTAGTAATGCATCAGCCTCAAAAACACAAGATTCTGTTGCAATGAGCCATTCCAGAATGAAGAGAGTGAAAACATGCGTGATAGCGACTCGTCTGTTCTGATGATCTGTAGAAAACATTTACATTTATGATACGTTTGTTTTTTGTATTTTACACCAGTGTCTTAGAATAGAGAACTCTTTGACACCATAGATTACATAAGTTTCTGACAGTGTATATGTGAAAGATTTGGTGGCTGTGAAAACTCGAAGACCTGATATACAGATCTTCAGAATATTTCAGATGTCTGTCATCTAACTTTCTTCACTTGTAAATGCGTAACTTGTAACACAGCATTGCGCATCATATCCATCGAGCAACCAGAAGTGCTGAGGTATAGTGTTGAATGTTTGTGGTACTCGATATCGATGCAATTCCTAATCAATTCAAAAGTCCTGTGACGTTTTGTATCTGTTAGCTTGCTGTTGTGTAACAATACGTGGAATGTTGGATTCTTTATTTCAGGGGTGGATTGTTTTTGAGCGGTGTAGTCCAGCATCAATTTGTATATTCTGCAGATCATGAGTGTAATGTTTTTACATTTATATAATATTTTAACAACTGCTTTGCATTTAAGTAACAAATTATTGTATTTTTCAGATGAATGAAGGCAGAAAAAGTCAAATTGTACTGCCAGATGAAAGGATATTGGACATTTTGATACAGGTAAGTGAGCTATTTAGACTGTTTGATATGACGCACATGGAAAAAAGCTCAAAATAAATTACTCCGAAACAATATACAAAATGTACTGTCATTTGGGTGCCAGTGATTTCAGCAGCATCCCTGGCGGCATTTCGTATTCAAAACATATTATTTCCGTTATTAATGATTTGATATTGATTGCTCAGTTCACACATGACTTATGAGGAGAAATAGAAAGGAAGTTATGTCAAAGGTACAAAATGAAATACTGTTATAGACTTGGTACTATATAAGCTGGTATAAATAGAAAGGAAGTTATATCAAAGGTACAAAATGAAATACTGTTGTAGACTTGGTACTATATAATCTGGTATAAATAGAAAGGAAGTAATATCAAAGGTACAAAATGAAATACTGTTGTAGACTTGGTACTATATAATCTGGTATAAATAGAAAGGAAGTTATTTTAAAGGTACAAAATGAAATACTGTTATAGACTCGGTACTATATAATCTGATATAAATAGAAAGGAAGTTATATCAATTGTACAAAATGAAATACTGTTATAGACTCGGTACTATATAATCTCGTATAAATAGAAAGGAAGTTATATCAAAGGTACAAAATGAAATACTGGTGTAGACTTGGTACTATATAATCTGGTACAAATAGAAAGGAAGTTATTTTAAAGGTACAAAATGAAATACTGTTATAGGCTCGGTACTATATAATCTGGTATAAATAGAAGGAAGTTATATCAAAGGTACAAAATTAAATACTGTTATAGACTCGGTACTATATAATCTCGTATAAATAGAAAGGAAGTTATATCAAATGTACAAAATGAAATACTGTTATAGACTTGGTACTATATAATCTGGTATAAATAGAAAGGAAGTTATATCAATTGTACAAAATGAAATACTGTTATAGACTTGGTACTATATAATCTGGTATAAATAGAAAGGAAGTTATATCAAATGTACAAAATGAAATACTGTTATAGACTCGGTAATATATAATCTGGTATAAATAGAAAGGAAGTTATATCAATTGTACAAAATGAAATACTGTTATAGACTCGGTACTATATAATCTGGTATAAATAGAAAGGAAGTTATATCAATTGTACAAAATGAAATACTGTTATAGACTCGGTACTATATAATCTGGTATAAATCAGGAGATTTTACAGTAAACTGTCCTGTAAAATGAAGTATGCACAAATAGAAAGGTTTCACCTGTTTCTCTGCATGTCCTGGACATGTCTGGTAAAAATCACTAGTGCCCATGATCAAATACTTGAAACTTCCTAATTGGAAATCAGACCAGACTTCAAGAAAGTTTGATCTTGACCTTGGAACAGAGACATATAGAATGGTGTATAAACTGATACTACTACAAATGTAGAGGATTTGGTGTACAGATATTATAGTGTTTGTATCCACACTGTCTGTAGGGTAAGAGCAACAATACTGCTGGAAATTAATCCATCTTGTACGGGGGACACGGTCATCGAATGATGTACTTTATCTCTTCATTCACCAAAGAGGCTTCTTCTTTGATGTAAAGAGGGTCAAAGGTCAAGGTCATAAAAGTCAAATTTTGACATTTTCTATTAATTTTATGCTTTTCTGATGTACCTTTTCTGTATTTTCATATATTCAGGAAATAATGGGCTTTATATATGAAATATAGAAACTACCTAGCTTGTCTTACTTTAAAAAAAAATCACCAAAACAAATCTGATTGAATTTGTTTCTTTTCATTTCAGCCAAAATTGAACACAAAAGACTTGTTAGATCTGGTAGCATCACATTTTAAGCTAAAAGAAAAGGATTATTTTGGGATTTATTTTCTCGATGAAACGTAAGTACTCAATGCTTCAGTATTTCACAAAGTGGTCCTATCTGTGTTGGCTGTACACACACTGTGCTTGTGTATAAGTGTGGGAGTAGAAGGGGATGTGAAGGATGATCACGCGTACAAACCATTGTTTTTATACGATCTACTTATTTCTGTGTTTCCTGAGAACATTATATGTACTTGTTGTAGAAAGGTCCTTAACTAATGAGAAGCTATTGTGTTACAAAATTGGCTTTTCTCTTTCTGTGTTTCTCTGTACCAGCAACAGCCTTGTGCTAAATTTGATATAGTTGTTTAAATATAATTTTGCGGTAACAGTAACAAAACAAAAATCTTGATCTGTGAACATTTTTGTTGGTTCGTTTGAGTGGTTTTACGTCTGCTTCACTGCCGAGTAGTTGGTTATCCAACAGATGAAGCTAAAACTATTACACAAGGGGAAAGGTGTATGTAAAATGTATTACATGAATACAATACCAATAAGTTATGTTTATGTGACTCTCATTAGTTAATTTTCAAATGTAAAAAAAATACCTGGTTAACTTTGTGTCTTGATACAATTTGAACGCATGAGGGATAAACATCATGACTAACCATCGCCTGTTGGGAAAACCTTTATGTCCAGGGTAAAAAAAAGTAGGACTTAATACCGTGAGTTATATAAGGTGGATGTATCAAAGGTTTAGTTATATTGACATTGATATTGAACTTAATTGTGCATCATTGTACTTAATTCAAGGTGGGTGTCAATTAAATCTTTTACTTCTCCTGCCATGTTCCTATGGAGCATACATGAATATGAATTTACTTTGATATTTAGATGTGCAATGAGGGATAAAAATAAACTTTCAAAGGTCAAGGCCAAGGTCACCGACACTGAAAATAGACCGTGGAGGTGGGGATATACTGTCCTTCTCTTGGAATCTTTTTAAAGCTTGACATGGTAATACACTTTGATATTTAGATGTACAATAGGGGTTGAGAAGTTTGTAAGGTTAAGGTCACTGTTACTGATAATTAACCATGGGGGTACGCAGGTACATGGCAGGGCCCTTGCTGACTTGTCAGTGTTCTAGTTTGCACTAAGAGTGTCAAGAACAGAAATGTAGATACTTGTGTTGGTAGAAAATATTTGTATATATTGATTCAATTTAAAATGTTTGGATTTCTGCTCATACAAATACTTCACCATCTTCGAGAAACTATTTGTGTATTAAAATGGTACTGAATAGATTTTAATGACTACATAAGGAAGGCTGGGTGAATATAAGGAGAGAAAGAAGATTATTTATAGAAATCCAACATCAGGGAATACAGCGGGGAAAAGGGATTATATACACTAACCCAGCATCAGGGAATATTGATTGGGGTGGTTTATAGAGAATAAATATATCTCATCATGCACAGCTGTCACAGGATTGCAAGTCAAGAATGTCTTGTGTAGGTGCAGTACAGAGTGTTTATAACAACACATAGGGTAGGCTGAATACAGTTTCTATAACACATGGTAGGCTGAATACAGTTTCTATAACACAGGGTAGGCTGAGTATAGTTTCTATAACACAGGGTAGGCTGAGTACAGAATCTATAATGCAGGGTAGGCTGGGTATAGTTTCTATAACACAGGGTAGGCTGGGTATAGTTTCTATAACACAGGGTAGTCTGAGTACAGTTTCTATAACACAGGGTAGGCTGGGTATAGTTTCTACAACACAGGGTAGGCTGAGTATAGTTTATATAACACAGGGTAGGCTGAGTATAGTTTATATAACACAGGGTAGGCTGAGTACAGAATCTATAACGCAGGGTAGGCTGAGTATAGTTTATATAACACAGGGTAGGCTGGGTATAGTTTCTATAACACAGGGTAGTCTGAGTACAGTTTCTATAACACAGGGTAGGCTGGGTACAGTTTCTATAACACAGGGTAGTCTGAGTACAGAATATATAACACAAGGTAGGCTGAGTACAGAATATATAACACAGGGTAGGCTGAATACAGAATATATAACACAAGGTAGGCTGAGTATAGTTTCTATAACACAGGGTAGGCTGAGTACAGTTTATATAACACAGGGTAGGCTGAGTATAGTTTCTATAACACAGGGTTTGCTATTATTACAGGGTCCTCAGTTCATAAAGTGGGATTTAATGTCTCATACATATGTCTTTATGTGAATGTAAGCTTCAACGTGTTTCTATTTGATGTAGGATAGATCTTACCTGTGTCTCAAGATGTCTAGAAAAAACAACCTAGATACTGGTTTTCCAGTGTTTACATGTCCCGTACACGACATTTTGTCCTATATACAGGACATCATATCCTATGCTCCTAGGTACATCAAAGAAAAATTGGTGGCACAACAATTTAAAACCAGACCAATCCATTGTCACAATACAAAACATACAAAATCAAATAGTACTCATTGTTCAGGGAGGAAGGTAAAACACTAGAAGTATTGTGTTACAATGTGGTGAAGGGGAGATAACTGGAATAGACTACTAGAAAACTTGATGATGACTGTGTCCGACAACCCTGGCACTGGAGGTGATGATATAGTTAAATACAGATAACATGCCACAGATAGACTGAGTAAACTAGCAGTGCTGTTCTCCACTGTCAGGAGGGACATTTATCAACTTACACACATTAATCTAGTATGTGGTCGGGAGCTTGTCACTAGGGTGGGAAATTACACTGACAACAAATGTTTTCATAAAACTGCAGCATACACTGGCATATATTGTGTTGTAGGTTTAATCAAATTTGTGTTATTTTTTTTGCCCCTGTAATTTTATGGGGCTAGAGATAGGGGTGGGGGGATATAGTGTTAAACATGGCTGTCCTTTTGCATTCCATTTCATTGAGTCCCATTATGATCTTTGGGGGCATTACATTTCTTAAGAGATGTTTTCTAATGTTAAGAACAGTTGCCAATGCTAGAGAGTATCTCAAACTTACGTATAATTCCACATTTCCCCCTATAACCTGAGCCTTCCAACTTATGTATAATTCCACATTTCCCCCTATAACCTGAGACATCCAACTTATGTATAATTCCACATTTCCCCCTATAACCTAAGACATGAACAGATAATCATTTTGAAGTCTTCACCTTGACATAAAGGAAAGTATTTCTGTTTTATTGATTTTAAAAACTTAGCTAACTGTGTGCAGTTCATTCAGTGTTTGTACATATTTCAGAAGGAAATTAAGAGTTCTACTTTCTGTCAGATGGTCACCACTTATGTAAACAATGTCAAAAGTACATTCCTACTAGTGTGATGTTTTAGGTTGGAAGATCATTGAAATGTTTTCTGAAGGATATATCTTATCCTTATTAATCTAACTTCATATAATCATTTCGATGTTTTTGGTAATTGACAGGGTAGCTGATAGGATGGTTATGTTTCTGTAGCGTTACAAATTCAGTCAAAGAATAATGCTTTTCCATAGTTGCTAGGTGTTTGTTTTACAGTGTGCATGCGAGATATTGTAATTTGCACGTGTGTACAAAAGCAGGTCACAAAACAGAATTTATGACTGAGAAAGAAACATTTTAGCTATACTTTGCTATACTTTTTGATTTCTTTGAAATTTTATTTTGAAATGTGAAAAAGAGGATTTTACCCGTGTATGGGGAAGATGATTTAATTCACATATTGTGCTTGACCCAACAATCTAAAATGTATCGTTTGTTTGTTGAAGCTTAAACTCTGATTTGTTTTTTCGTGAAACTGACAAAAGATATATATTGTACACATGTGTATTGTGAAAGTTAAGAAAATAAGAGCCAGGCCCTGTTCATCAAGTCAGCCCTTATGTCTAAGCTATAAGAGCCAGTCCCTGTTCATCAAGTCAGCCCTTACGTCTAAGCTATAAGAGCCAGGCCCTGTTCATCAAGTCAGCCCTTATGTCTAAGCTATAAGAGCCAGTCCCTGTTATCAAGTCAGTCCTTATGTCTAAGCTATAAGAGCCAGTCCCTGTTCATCAAGTCAGCCCTTACGTCTAAGCTATAAGAGCCAGGCCCTGTTCATCAAGTCAGCCCTTATGTCTAAAATAAAGGGCCAGGCCCTGTTTATCAAGTCAGCCCTTATGTCTAAGCTATAAGACCCAGGCCCTGTTCATCAAGTCAGTCCTTATTTCTAAGCTATAAGAGCCAAGCCCTGTTCATAAGTCAGTCCTTATGTCTAAGCTATAAGACCCAGGCCCTGTTTATCAAGTCAGTCCTTATGTCTAAGCTATAAGACCCAGGCCCTGTTTATCAAGTCAGCCCTTATGTCTATGCTATAAGAGCCAGGCCCTGTTTATCAAGTCAGTCCTTATGTCTAAGCTATAAGAGCCAGGCACTGTTCATCAAGTCAGTCCTTATGTCTAAGCTATAAGAGCCAAGCCCTGTTTATCAAGTCTGCCCTTATGTCTAAGCTATAAGAGCCAGGCCCTGTTAATCAAGTCAGCCCTTATGTCTAAGCTATAAGAGCCAGGCACTGTTCATCAAGTCAGCCCTTATGTCTAAGCTATAAGAGCCAAGCCCTGTTCATCAAGTCAGTCCTTATGTCTAAGCTATAAGAGCAAAGCCATGTTTATCAAGTCAGTCCTTATGTCTAGGCTATAAGAGCCAGGCCCTGTTTATCAAGTCAGTCCTTATTTCTAAGCTATAAGAGCCAAGCCATGTTTATCAAGTCATCCCTGTTCATCAAGTCAGCCCTTACGTCTAAGCTATAAGAGCCAGGCCCTGTTCATCAAGTCAGCCCTTATGTCTAAGCTATAAGAGGCAGGCCCTGTTCATCAAGTCAGCCCTTATGTCTAAGCTATAAGAGCCAGGCCCTCTTCATCAAGTCAGCCCTTATGTCTAAGCTATAAGAGGCAGTCCCTGTTCATCAAGTCAGCCCTTATGTCTAAGCTATAAGAGCCAAGCATTGTTTATCAAGTCAGCCCTTATGTCTAAGCTATAAGAGGCAGTCCCTGTTCATCAAGTCAGCCCTTATGTCTAAGCTATAAG